TTTTCATTCATTCATTGTTGCACTTTTTCTTTACTCCCCCCCCCCACCAGTCACTCCTCTCTTTGGAAAGCAAAAGATAATCTTCTTTGTTGGTATAAGATTGCTTTATTTTTAAAGAAAGATTTTCTGTTAGAACAGTGACTCACCCACCTTGAGCTCTGTGCATTTTTGAGAGCTGCATGGGATCAAGGTGAAGACAGCAACTCAAAGAGCTCAGGCAGGAAAGTTAGGAGGCCAGGAGGGTATGTTGTTGGGAGGAGCTCCTCAGGAAAGGAGTGTGAAGGTGCTGAAGAATGTAATGCGTGTCACAGAACTGTGGACATATGAATAATGGTGAATTCATGTGTGTCCTGCCGTGCATATGCTCGGCAACAAAAGAGGGTGGGGCTGAGGAGTGCCCAGTGGCCTGGCCTGCTTGTCCTCCCACACTCCCTCCCTCAGCAGACCGGCCATTACTGGGATGGATTCACCACTCCCCTCCCGCTGTGCTAAGAGCACCCTGAGGGGAGACCAGTGCAGGGTTATAACAGGGTTTGGACTTTGGCTGTTGCAAAAGACGGAGGTTTTGTGGAGATAGGCAATATTTGCTGCACTAGTTGTTCCTGTTGGAAGCCCCTAAGCTGATCCCTTATCCTGCCAGCAACCTATGACCTGAACATTGGCTGCAAACCCTGAGCACACAGTGATCTCAGCCACATGCTGACACTGTAACTCAGACCCGACTACAGATTCATTCCATCACCTGCACCACAGCCTCTGATGCTCTAGTCCTGGCCATTGAGCCCCAATCCCACCACTGGCACCACCCCTAATCCTAGGTATACTATGATCCCATGATAACCCTGACTAACCCTGACACCAGATTAACCCCAGCCACCTACTGACCCCTGCCCATGATCACTATCTCCCCATTCCTAGCCACTGTCCCCTACTCTATGTGAGTGATTCCTGGTTCCCACCCTGGTTACAGCTCACGTGTGCTCCAGAGCTGAGATCTCCTAACCTAGAATCCTGAGCACACAGAGACCCCTAACATGGCCCCTTCTGCAGACCGACCCCAGTGCCCTGTGGGTGTTGCTTCTAGCCCTGGATGGGCCCTGAGCTTTCTGGCTTTGATGTAAGCCCTCAGCCACTGAGGTCCCCAGGTGATGCCTTCCACCCATTCCCACCTGCAGAAAACCGGTACTTCCTTCTTTGCCCCTTGAGGACTTCCTGACTAGAGCATTTCTTAGACATGGGCACACGTCTTCCTTCCTGGCCTTATCAAGGAGCTGGGCTCAGCATAGCAGCTTACCTGAATGTGCTCTACTGCCTTTTTGCTACACATTTTTGGGAAGCCCCATTTTTCCCAATCTGTAACATGGGAATAATAACAACAGACACTTCAGAGCGTAGATGGGATAAGGCCAGAAAATTCTCAGCCAGGGCCTGATGCACAGCAAAACCATTGTTGTTTTATTTCCATCCTCACTTTGATCTATAATCCAGGGAGAACAAGGATTCTCTCCTTTTCAAAGATGGGGCAGAGGGGAGAAAGTGAGGTGTCCTGGATCCCCTTTAGAAGAAAGAGTGGGTTGTTTGGTTTTGTGGGTTTTTTTCATTAGTCTGTTACACAGTTGTTTTTGGTTTTTTTTTTAATTTTTTTTCTTCTTATTATTTTTGTGTGTGTGTACCGTCAAATCGGATCTGACTGGTACAGGAGGAGATTGCCCCTCCTTCTCCGGCGGAGCATCTGGTGGATTCGAACTGCATGCCTTCGAGATTACAGCACAGCTTCTTGCTACTAGGCCACCAGAGCTCCCCTGCACAGTTTATTTTAACATAAAAATGAGTTGGTTTGTTACTAGCCTGTGCAGTGATTGAATTTTCTTAACAATATGCTACTGTTAGGGGAGCTCTGGTGGCCTAGTGGCAAGAAGCTGTACTGCAATCCCAGAGGTACACGGTTCAAATCCACCAGATGCTCTGCCGGAGGAGGAGGGAAAATTTCCCTCCTGTATCAGTCAGATCTGATTTGACGGTACACGCACAATAAATAAATTAAACAAAACAAAACAACAATATGCTACTGTGCTACTGTGAAGACTGGGGCCGCTGCTGTCACTGGCTCAGCATACTGGATGTGACCTGACTCGGATATGACATGTTCAGGCCTCTGGGGGCCATCTGGCTCGTGCACACTGGGAACATGCCACTTATCAATGTGGTACAGTTGCTGCTGCTAGACGTTGATTTGGATATGCCAGTGGGCCTGCACCAGCCTTGGGTGGTCAGGGAGGAGGGGAGACCTAGCGACTGGGTGGTGGATTTTCCTGGGGACTGTGGTGTGGGCTGAGTCTGGGTCCCACTGGGGAAGCTGGCTAGTGACTTGCTCAGGGGTAAAGGCTGGGACGGCGCAGGGGGCCACAGAGCCTGAGGCATGACAAGAGATGCTGAGCTGGAAGGCAAGCCCTCCTAAGGCACATTGTGGATGCTGGTGCAGAACTGGATGTGCTGCAGCCAGTGCTGCTGGATCTGCGGCGGAGGGAACTTGTGTTTGACGGTGAGGCACAGAGCATGGAGCAGTTGTTCTTGAGGCAGTGTTTGGCCTGGTAACTGCAAAGCGCGATGGCTGCTTGCAGGCGGGGCAGCCACCCTAAGCCTTAAGCTTACAGCCTTTGATGTGCTGGACCACTCGCTTCATCTCTGGGCAGGGCTGCAATGAGCAGTTGCCTTTCAGCACAAGTAGGCATGCCCCAGATACTGGTTGCAGCGCCTAATATAATGAGGCCATAAACCGTGGAGGTTCTTTGGCTTCAGCTGGCCCTGGATGTTGCCATTGTTATCCAGCTTGTGGCTGTAGCTCTTGTCGTTTTTGATACACAGATATAGTCCTTAGGACCATTCGCCACTTCTGTCAGGACACACCGCTCTAAACATCTGAAAGAGTGGGTTTTATGATCTTGGGCCTGAGTTCTGGCCTTTCTCTCTGACCTCACAGGGGGCCGAGTCTTGCAGATCCCCCTGGTACGCGCAGAGGATGCTGGGAGGTACTCCTGCAAGGCCTCCAATGAAGTGGGCGAGGACTGGCTGCACTACGAGCTGCTGGTGCTGAGTGAGTGCCAGGCTGCGGGCGAGTGTTCTGACGGAGTCCATAGGCCGGAGAGGGCTGCATTTCCAGTCTTGCTACAGCCAAGAGTTGTTAATACAAGGGTGCTGAGCTTGAGCTCTGAAGCCAGATAGGACTGGGTTCATGTTCCAAGTGAGCTGCTCCCTAGCTGTGTGATCTCGGACAGCTCACCAACCCTCTTGTGCCTCGGGTTCCTCAGCTATGTCAGAGGCTGGAGGGTTTGGTGAGCAAGGTACGAGCAGCCCTAACCTGAGCCTGACACCATGTACAGCTACTGTTCTTGCCTCCACATCTCCCCTCCCTGAGACCTTGCCCCCAGGAGAGGTCCTCAGGCTTCCAGCCTGCACTTTCCTCTCCCCCACATTCAGCTCCACCTGTGATTCTGGGTGACACAGAAGAGCTGGTGGAAGAAGTGACCGTCAACGCAAGCAGCACCATCAGCCTGCAGTGCCCAGCCCTGGGCAACCCCATGCCCATCATCTCATGGCTCGAGAATGGCCTGCCGTTCTCCCCAAGCCCGCGGCTGCAGGTCCTGGAGGACGGGCAAGTCTTACAGGTCAGGATGGCCCCCTGGTGGGCTCAAGGAAAAGTGGGTGTTGCAACCTTGCACTCAGTCTTGGAGCCCAGTAGGTGCTGTTTCTATGACAATTGAGGCCTGTTTTTTAACCTCAAATATAACTGGATGTAATTCAGCTGAACAAATATTCATGTCACTGCATCTGTGGGACTTTGCTGGGCAGGACAGGCCTCACCAAGCCCCTAGAAGTCCAGGTGACACTCGGTAGAGGATGAGGATGCGTGCTGCCCCTAGGGCCCAGTGTGGCACAGAGCATCCTTCTGCAGGAATACCATCAGATACCTACAGGGCTGTATCCGCCCATCACCTAGTATCTAGATCATAGAACTCTGTGGGTGTCCTGAAGCCCAGGCCAGAACAGATCTACCCCCCAACAAGGTTCGGGGGGCCAGTAGTCAACATCTAGTGTGCTCCAGAGTTGCAGCTGACATGCACTTCATCCCTCTCCACTCCACTGAATATCACACAAAGATATTCAATAAATTGGAGACTGCTCTGCCAGCCATGGGACAAGTCCCGCTCCTGGTCTCCTTAAGCTGCCTGTTGCTCATCGTGCCTGCTACGGGTGGGAGGGAGTCCTCACAGTCATCCCTGTGAGACGGGTTTGGGGAGCCCAAAGGAGCCTCTGGTTTTCCCCCAAATCATCCATCCTGTGGCATCTCCAGGCACCATCTCCCTGTACCCCACAGGTTTCCACTGCAAAAGTGGCTGATGCCACCAGCTACATGTGTGTGGCCGAGAACCAGGCAGGCTCTGCGGAGAAACTCTTCACTCTCAGGGTCCAAGGTGAGCTGGATGAGCAGATCCCCAGAGGATGTGGGGCTGATGGGCTGATGGGCTTTGCCCTTGGTTCCCTGCTTCAGCGAGGCCTCTAACTGGATCCACATGTCAGCTGCGTCAACTGGAACAGAGAGGGACAGACACAACATCTTGCCCTGGCTCAGGGGCACTGTGCTTCCAATATCCTGGGCTTCGACTCCAGCCTGGTACTAACTGCTTCATGAGACCAAGAGCATTTGGTTTTAAGCAACTTTGGAAGCACCTAGGGAACTGCTTTCCTGAGGCTATACAGCATTTAGTAAGCTCCTTCCATGGACCTGCATGGGACCAGACACATTCCCTGTGCTGTCTGTCCTTCTAGCAAAGCTATGAGGTTAACATGATTTTCCAACTGTGAGAATGGACTCAGGGCACATAAGTGTAGAGTTCCACCACTTACAGAGCCATCTCATCTGTAAGATAATTAAAATATGTAGAGGCTTCCGCATATAGTTGTTTGCAAATGTGCCAGAGGGGTGTGTCAGGGGCTCTCTGACCTCCTACTGGTGTGCATTCTCATTTATTTTTTTCTTTATCCTGGTGATCCTGGGCACAGTGCCACCAAGAATCACAGGTCTGCCCTCAGAGAAGATCACTGCCATCCTCAACAGTAGCGTCTCACTCTCCTGTGATGTCCGTGCTCAGCCGAGCCCTGAAGTCACGTGGTACAAGGACAGCCAGCCCCTCTCCCTGAGTGATGAAACCTTCCTTCTTCCTGGTGGGTAAACTAAGGCTTCAATCCAACTTGAGGCTGTGTGAGGAACCAGCATTTCTGGGACCAGACTTTGAATCTGGGAGGACTCTAGGATAAAAGGAAGTGGGCCTGGGAGCTGGGGCCAGTTTGCTGATGTGAGGGGCTGCTTCCCCTCACAGGCACCCACACACTGCAGTTGTCTCGTGTCCAGCCGTCAGACTCTGGGTCATACCTGTGTGAAGCCCTCAATGCTGCCGGCCAAGATCAGAAGCTGGTGCAGCTTAGTGTGCTAGGTATGTTTTCTAGCTGCCCCCTCCCTGCACCATCTCCCATTCAACCTCAATCAGGCCTCAGTTCTGAGCCCTCAGCCACTTGGATAAAACACCCAGGAGGGGGCAGCCAACACAGGCTGAGGCTGAGATGCCCCTTGTCCTCTCCAGAGGATGATGTCTAGATAGCACTGTCTTGTGGTTAAGATCATAGACTCTGGAGCTGGAAACACTTGGATCTGAAATTCAGCTATGCATGTACTTGTTCTGTGACCTTGAGCAAGTTAGTTAAGCCCAGCCAACATTACTCTATTAGTAATGGCTGCCTAAGGTGCATGATTACATCTTGGCTAAGCAGAGGAGAGTGTTGGCATTGATTAATGATGACTGCCCTGTCAGGGGATAAGGAACTCTCTCTGAGCCTCAGAATTCCAATCTGCAAATTGGCACCTGGTATAAGGATCAAATGATAGCAGGCACAGTGTAAATTCTGATGATGGTGAAGTTTAAGATGAGTACCGTGATGAGCACCTAAGAATTTGGCTCAGGAAGGAGCTTTTCCAAAGCCCATTTGGTCCCTAGTCTCCATTAGTCTAAGTCCAAGATATCATGAGGCCAGGACTCCCTAAACAGTGTGTTCTATCCCTGGTGCTTTTTCATGTGTTTGGCATGTTCACTTAGTACCCTGGCACACTCGTTTGTTTGGCCCGTTCATGTAATGTGCTTCAGGTACCACAGCAGGTCCTGCAGCACACAGCTGAAGCGGAGGGTGTCTGTGCTAATAATGACTGCATATGAAAGGAGTTGGTTTCCTGGAGGGACATGGGACTCTGGGTTTCCCTTGTGGAGAGCTCTAATTCAGGTAGGGAAAAGTCTAGAAAGCCCATCTGAGCATCTCACCCCAGAGGCTGAGAGAGGACAGAACCTTTCCCAGGTCATCTGGCATGTCCTCAGACAACTAGCTTGGCTCTTGTCCTCCAACCTCCATGTCTACATGTCTACACCACGTCTACTACCTCCATGGCTAATGCCTGGAGGTCAGGCCCTCTCCCTGAAATGTATAGGCCTCTGTTGGCTGGAAGCAGGGAGGACACAGCCTCTCATTCTGCTTTGTCTCCTCCCCTCAGTTCCCCCCACCTTTAGGGAGCCTCCCAGTGGCCCCCAGGACACAGTCCTAGTGCGGGCTGGGGAAAAAGCTGTCCTGAGCTGTGAGACAGACTCACTCCCTGAGCCTACTGTGACCTGGTACAAAGATGGGCAGCCCTTGACCCTGACACAGAGGACCCAAACTTCACTGGGTGAGCAGAAGCTGGAGATTGTGGACACTCAGGTAAGCCCTGGGAGACATGGACAGCTGTGGGTGGCCAAGGGAGTAACCTTCCCCAGTTCTAATTGGCCTTGAGGTTTATATGGACTACTAAAATTTGTGTGGGCTACTACCTTTTTGGCCTGTAACATCTCAGACTGAGGAAGAGATATGAGGAGAGCACAGGACTTCAGAGAAATCTTTGTTGGATGCGTACCTTTTGACCTTCTGGACACCATTCTGAACACCTCTCTCCTGGCCCAGTTCCACCTGCATAATGAGGGGGATTTTTCCTCTGAGCTCGACTGATAAACAGGCCTAGGGGAGGAAGGAGTCAGTAGTCTGTGCAGAGGCACCTGCCCACTGTCCTCCCATCCTGTCCCTTAAGACATTTGGAAAAGACCAGAAGGACCCATCTTCTTTGACCTCCTAAGCAGAACCAGGCTATTTGAGAGTTGTTATTCTTTCTTTCTTTTTTTTTTTTAAACAGTTATTACCTTTTTTTTTTCTTGTTGTGTACCATCAAAACGGATCCAACTGGCACAGGAAGAGATTGCCCCTCCTTCTCCAGCAGAGCATCTGGTGGATTTGAACTGTGTCTTTCAGATTTCAGTGCAGCTTCTTGACACTAGGCCACCCGAACTACCTTACGAAAGTTGTTATTTGAAGATTCTGGGGTCTAGATGTTTTGGGGAAGCCCTATGTGCCCTAACACCCTCTTACACATTTTCACTACATACTCTCTGTCCCAGGTGTCAGATAAAGGTTTATACAGCTGTAAAGTCAGCAATGTGGCTGGGGAGGCCATGCGGACCTTCATTCTCACCGTCCAGGGTAAGCTGGGCTTTGAGTACAAGGGACCAGAATTGTTAATCGTTCCGTGGAACCTGAGTATCAGACAGGGGCTAACAAAGATGAGAAAGGCAGTAACTGGAAAGAGGAGAACAGCTGAGCAGTTAAGGGCACAAGATCTCGAATTAAAAGGACTATGATTCAAATATCAGTAACCAACTTACTTTGTGGAACTCAGCACCCTCTTTCTCCTCTGACCCTCAAGTTTATCTTTAGTAAACAGGAGCTAAAAGTAGCACCTGTCTTATAGGCACATAGGAAGTACTTGATCTAATGGGACTACCATGACTGTCTTTGTAAAGTACTAGGTACAGAGCTTTGTCATGGCAACTAGGCCCTGAGACGAAGGGACTCTCAGAGAATAGACACAGGAGGCCTTTACTCTTGAAACTTAAGGGGCTATGCCATCAACCAAAGGACAGAAAATGGATGGCATTTGATCAAATATGTGGTTTGAATAGGGGGGAGAGGGAGCTTGCTTGAGCAAGGGATGGAGGCCTGGCCAGTATTTTTGTGTTTTTTGTTTGTTTGTTTTTTGGTTTTTTGTCGTCAGATGATGTGTTAACTTAGGGTATAAACTAAGCTGTGTAACAAAGAGTCTCTAAAATGCAATGAATTAGATGAAAGTTAATCCTCTCATCTAAAAGTCTAGGCTGGTGGAGTAGCTCAGCTTTGTAATGATTCAGGGACCCAGGTTCCTTCTATCTTGTTGATCCTGTCTTCTAGTGAGTGCATTGTCAATTTTTATATGACTAAAACTGGGACATGGCCTGTCCCGGCCTATTTTTGTTATTGTAGTCTGTTGAGTTGGAACAGGCTCAAAGCTGACCCTCCAGCAGGTTTTCAGAGGCAGTTAATTTCACAGGAGAAGATTGCTTATCTTTCTTGTGCAGGGCAGCTGGTGGGTTAAACCACATACCTTTGCATTAGTAATGTAGTTCCTTACCACTAAGCCACCAGAGCTCCCTTTCAAGTCCCAGAGTCACAGCCTATAGAAAGCAGAAAAGAGCAGTAATAAAGGGCAAACATTTTATCTTAAGCAAGTGATGCAAAGTTGTATAGTCCCTTCTGCAAATATTCCACTGGCAAGAACATTATCAGCTGGTTACACAGAAGGCTGCCAAAAAGACTGGGAAATGTAGTATCTATCTGAATGACCTTGTACTCAACTAAAACTCTGCTGTGGAAATTAAAATAGCAAGTTAGGGTCACTAATTGTCTGCTATGTAAGGCAAAACCAGCACAGTTTCCCTACCAGATGAGCAGTGGGTACAACCCCAAGTTAGATTGACTGAAATAGTTAGAAATGGCTTACTAGGTTTGTTGTTCAAAGGCCGTAACTCTTTCTGATTGATACTTTGACAAATAATAAGAAGTATGTGGGAGTTGTTATGTCCCTGAGGGTATATATCTTTTATCTTGAGCCCACTGATTCTGTTTCACCAGTAGTGGCCACCTGGCTATGTCCTGGCCACTCGGGAGAATGTTGAGATTAATTACTGAGCCTGTGTTGGCCATTCTTGGTCTAAAGGGGGACCCCTCCTGGGCTCTGCTTTATACATGCTGTTTAGTAGCCCCTGTGAAGTAGTTTGTAGAGAGTTGTCCTGCTAACCCAAAGATCAGGCTTCTCTAATGCTTTGAATCCACCAGCAACTCCAAGAGAAAGATGGGCGAATCTCCTTTCATGCAATTTACAAAAAAAAGAAGACAAAGAAGAAGCCCACTGGGGGTCAGCTATGAGTTGGGTCCGACTTGACAGATGAGTAGTAAAGTACTGGTCTCATGTGTCTCCACCACCAGTAGAGCGTAAAATGTGAGCTACAAACTTTAGCAAGCACTCTTTGGGAACCCTTGATCTTCCTGGAAGGAAGGAAAACTGGGACAGTTACTTGGGAGACTAAGAATCTGGCTTATTTCCTATAGTGCCCCCAACATTTGAGAACCCCAAGACAGAGACCGTGAACCAGGTGGCTGGGAGCCCTTTGGTCCTGACCTGTGATGTGACTGGGGTCCCTGCACCCACAGTTACATGGCTAAAGGACAGAATGCCTATAGGTGAGTATTACAAGTCCTCATTTTCTTTTTTAATGTAAAATATCTTTTCGTTTAAGTAGAGTGAGTGAGGAATGTCAGTCTTGGTTAGGATAGTTAGAGTGGAACTCAGCAGAAGTGGGGTGAAAGGAATGAAGGAGGGAACTTCCTAGGCTGAGTTTAGGGTGCAGACTGAAGAAAGAACCAAGAGAAAGCCCGAGTATAACCTGTATTGGGGTCAATGACTGGCTGGTCCACTTTGGTGGGGAGGAGGTGGGGCGGGGGGGGGAGCAGGAATGTGGCTTTGGACTTGACAGTGGACAGGAAAAGGAGTAAGTCTTTAGGTTCTTGGACACTAAAGGGAAATTAGGGCCCTAACCTCAGGGGAAGATTCAATGAAGTTTTAAAGAACAGAACCACCAAAGTGGCACAGGCTTATGACATACACTGAGGCCCTTTTGGGCCTCAGTTTCCCTATGAGCCCATGAAGGAGTGGGCAATTCAAGGGTTCCCAGAGGTCACCATGGCATTGTGAGCGTGGGCCCTTCAGACCTTCTCAGGGCGTCACATGACTTCTGTAGCGTGTGGCCCAGATACAGTGGGTCCTGTGTAGGTGAAGACCTGTCATGCCCTTCCTCCCCACAGAGAGCAGCGTGGCCCAGGGCATGGTCTCCCGTGGGGGCCGCCTGCAGCTGAGTCGTCTGCAGCCAGCCCAGGGTGGTACCTACACATGTGTGGCTGAGAACACTGAGGCAGAGGCTCGCAAGGACTTCCTGGTGGCCGTGCTGGGTATGTCCTCCTCCTGCCTCCTCCTCCTAGGCCTGCCCCTTCATCTGCCCAGGCCTCACCCACAGCCCCCTGCTGCAGTGGCCCCCAGGATCCGGAGCTCAGGTGCTTCACAGGAGCACAGCGTCTTGGAGGGACAGGAAGTCCAGCTGGACTGCGAGGCTGAGGGGCAGCCCCCGCCAGATGTGACCTGGCTGAAGGACGGTGGCCCACTGGAAGAAGGCGTGAGCCCTCATCTCAGGTAAGGCCAAGGTGTCATCACCTGCACCCTCCTCCTACAGGTGGCAAGGCCCCAGCTTCTCACACACCTGACCTCGGTTCTCCCTCCCTGTGGCAGGTTCTTCCTGGATGGCAGTTCCCTGGTGCTGAAGGGTTTGAGGGCCTCAGACTCAGGCGCCTACACCTGTGTGGCCCGCAGTGCTGCTGGGGAGGATGCCAGGCTGCACACCGTGAATGTTCTGGGTGAGAAAACCCTGGGTGCCAGCCATGGATGGCCATCCCCTGCCACTCAGCAGCCTGACCAATATGGGGGCCAACAGTGGAGGCATCTGGGTAGGCAGGAGCCAGGTTGGACTGTGAAAGGCCTGGCTTCAATCCCCAACTCTGCCTGCACTGCGCAACCCAGACACTGAGCAGACAGAAAGTCTTGTCCTTCTACCCCTCGTCCACAAACGAGGCCCAACCACTCCAGCCTACAGGTTACAGGGGGGAAACTGGGGAATAAACTGAAATAGAGAGAGAGAGCCAAGGGGTGGGGCTGCCACCCCTTCAGTGCCTTTCATTCCTCCGTGGGGTGCATGTGGCGCCAAGAATCCTAGCCATGGTGGTGCCTGTGGCAGAATTCCAGGTACTGGCATTGTCCTCTGGTGTTTCCCTGCAGAAGCCCACATAGGCCCTCAGTGTCCTCACTGTTGCTCTTCTGTGTACCCTCAGTCCCTCCCACCATCGAGCAGGGAGCAGGGAATGGTGGAACCCTGGTACAACGGCCTGGCGAGCTGGTGACCATGGCTTGCCCCGTCCGGGGCTCCCCACCCATCCATATGAGCTGGCTTAAGGATGGTCTGCCCCTCCCACTGTCCCAGCGCACACACCTCCACGGCTCCGGCCGCACCCTCAGGTAGGGGAGTGGCGCCCCATCTCAGCTGACTGGTTGAGTGCAGGCCCCATTTATGCACTCCAGACAGCAAGCATTTTAAACCCATTGGAGTGGTTTTGGAGATATAGCCAGATCAAAACTTACAATGGAGAGATTAAGAAGGCCTCAACCTCAAATCCACAGAGATGAAGTTGGCTCAGGATAGGACAAAGTTCAGAGCCTGTGTTCATAGGGCACTATGAGTTGTAGTCAACTTTGGAAGCTAAAAATAACAGTAACACTCTCACATACTATCCAGTGGGGGTGCATACACAGATTCCTGTGGTGACACCTGGTGCCCTCCTATTCATCCTGACCTCTAGACAGAGGAAATCAGGGAAGGCTTCCTGGAAGAAGGTGCCTGAGCAAAATATTCAAGCGACTCAGAACACTTACAGATTGCTTAGTGGTCCAGGCTCAGACGTAGGGCCATAAGCAAGGCAAAGTCTCTGCTCCTGTAAGCTGCTGGGAACAGAGGACAAGGGTGTGTGTATGTGTGTGTACATGCCTCTTGTGCTCCCAGAGCAGAGTAAGGGTAGGACAGAGTCAGACGGGCAGAGTGTCAGGGTCTGTAGGACCTTGCAAGCTTCTGGAAAGACTTGTGGGTTTTCTGTAGGAAAGATGGGAGGCTGTGGGGGTTTGCTGCATAGGAGTGCTGTGATCTTACATGCATTCTTCAAGCATCCTGCTGCTGCTGTGTGGACAATAGATTAAGGTGGGGTGTGGAGGCAGAAAGCAGGACAAGGCCAGTAGCGGCTACTTTGACCACTCAAGTGAGGCGAGGTGTGGCCTGGGGCAGGGAAGGGACATGTGGAGAGCTGAGAGTAAGAGAAGACCCAAGCATGATGCCCAGACTATTCTCTGAGGGACTGGAAAGTTGGGGCTCCCATTTTCCGGGGGGATGTACTAGAGTTCAGTTTGAATATAAGGGTTTGAGAGGCTCTTTGTAGAGCCTCTGGTCAATAGCCTGAGAGGCTCTGAAATGGGAGATGAAAGCAGGAGATGAGCTACTCTCATGCAGAGATGGGGCAGAGGGATGTTTAGGGATCGCCAACAAACTGCCAGTGCAGAAGAGGGGGCCATGGTCACCTGTTAACAGCAGATCTAAGGAGCAAAGGCAGAGCACAAGCAACTGGGAAGGAGGGTGTATTCTGGGAGGGAGAGACCAATGGGCCAAATGAGACACGGCCTGAGGATTGACGAGTGACTTTGGCAATGTTTCATGTTGGGTGTGACTGGCACAGAGAAGTTTAGAAGGAGTAGTTCAGGCAAGGAATGGGCTCTCAAGAAAGTAGGACAGCAAGTGGAGACAACTATTACTGATGGCAAAGAGGCAGGGCCAGTGGAGGCCTGGAGACCAGAGAAGACTCCAGAATTCAGGAAGTAGTGGGATCAGATGGAGTCAAGATGGCAGCAAGGCCAGGCCAGGAATGGGGTGGTGGGGGACAGAGTTTGGGATTTTACTATAGGGACACTGGGGATACAGGAAAGGAGATTAAGCAAAAGCTGGACTTGATCAGACTCGCATGTCCACAGAGTTTGTCTGTCTCGCTTTCTCGGTGTTCAGGATTTCCCAGGTACAATTGGCAGACTCGGGCATCTTCACCTGCGTGGCCGCAAGCCCAGCTGGCGTGACTGACAGGAACTTCACGTTGCAGGTGCACGGTACGGAGCAGGGGATCTCAGCATGTGCCTCCTGCCCATCTGGGTGGAAGGAAGGATCAGCCCTCCTAGGTATCAAACCAGGAGCAATGCGGTGCCTCTGTTTAGTCTGGGTTCAGTTGCCCATTCATTTGTCTCGCAAGTTCTGTTAAGTCTGGGACTTGACAGGCATCAGAATATAGCTTCAAGCAGAGGTCGACCTGCCCACAGGAAGCAGCTCTGTAAAGAATCAATTGCAGTAGAGTCTATTGAGAAGTCCCCTGGATGGTGAGAATGGTTAGTTAACACACTCAGATGCTAAGTGAATTGTTAGAGGTTCAAGTCCATCCAGAGGTATCTCAAAAGAAAGGGCTGATGATGTCTGCCTAAAAATCCCAGCTTTTGGATCCTGTGAGGTTTACACAGGTTAGAGTTAACTCCATGACAGCTGCTTAGAGGTTGCTTTAGGAGGTAGGAGCTCAGAGGATAGGGCTCACCTAGCCTCAGAGGTTCAGGGAAGGCTTCCTGGAAGAGGGAGAAGGAATTATCCTGAAGAAGGGCCTTCTGCATAATCGAAGCAGTTTGTGGTTCAGAGCAACAGGACCAGTGCACAAATCCAGAGGTGAGGGCAGCCTGGCATGAACCTCTGTCCACTCCTTTGCCTCCACAGTGCCCCCTGTCCTGGAGCCAGAGGAGTTCCAGAAAGACGTGGCAGTGGTCCGTGGTTCCTCAGCTGTCCTCCCTTGTGAGGCTCGGGGCACCCCCTTGCCTCTCGTGTCGTGGATGAAGGATGGGGAGCCCTTGTTTCCCCAGAGCCTGGAGCAGGGGCCTGGCCTGCGGCTGGAGGCAGTGGGGGCCGATGATGCAGGGACCTACTCCTGCGTGGCCAAGAGCGAGGCGGGGGAAGCGAGGAGACATTTCCAGCTGACAGTGATGGGTGAGTCACAGCCCTGCCAGCAGACTGGACAGCAAGGACGTGACTCTGGGCCCTGGTGGAGATGATGGGAGGGAGGTGAGCAGGGCTGCTGCCTGGGAGCAGGGTTTAGAAAAGAAGTCCTTACGGGTCACAGGGCATGATAGCTGGACGTTTGAGTCTCTCAAAGCTGACAGCCTTGGTCTTGTTTACTAACCCTGGATGGAAGAAGCAAAACCAAAAGCAACTGAAATCTGAGGACAGAGACCTAAAGGCAGGACATTTTGCAAGTGTGTTATGTTGGGAAATTTTTGTGAATCATCTATACTGCATTGTTGATTTTCAGGCACCACTGGTTGCTGTTCCCCCTCGGGGGGTCTGTCCTATTTCCAGCAGATAGGCCTTGGCTCTGGGATCTTGAATCCCCTCACAACCACCCCCTGCCTGACTGTGGCTCTGTCTGCTGCCAGCGCAGACAAGCAGGCACACAGGAGAGATGAGAGTCAGCACAGGCCCCCAGCATGGCCACCCACCACTGACTAGGGGATATTTCTTGCAGATCCACCTCACGTGGAGGACTCAGATCAGACTGCAGAGCTGTTGCTAGCCCCAAAAACCCCCTTGGAGCTCCTCTGTGATGCTCGGGGCAGCCCCTCACCCAACATCACCTGGTATAAGGACGGGCAGGCACTGAGCAGGCCGGAGAACAGCATCAGTCCCGGGCGGGTGATGCGGATCGAGGGTGTGCAGGTGCCCGCTGTGGAAGGAGCCTGTGGGAGGTGCTATACCTGTGCAAGGGATGAGGAGGTGGAGATGGTCTTTGGCTCAGAGACAAAGCTGAGGCACAAGCCGGATAACCCATCCAGAGATCCTGGGGCAGAGGAGGGCCGGCACCATCAGGGAAAACTTTCTAGAAAAGGCAGGCAAAATAGAGGTAAAGAAGGGACATTGCAGAGAAATGAATGAGTTGTCTGGAGAGGTAGCATTTGTAACTCAAAAGCCTTGTGTAAGAGATCAGGTTGGGAAGTGGGGGACTAGAGACAGGGAGTCACTCCACTCTGTCCCCAGGTGGGAGATGCTGGGATGTACACTTGTCTGGCCAAGAATCCTGCTGGTGAAGTTGAGAAGAGCTTCCGGGTCAGAGTTCAAGGTAGAGGGAACAGAGGTGGGACCAGAGGTGGGAGACAGGACACAGCCTCCAGGGACAAGCCCATCTCTCATGGCCTCTCTGCCCCTGCCTAGCCCCTCCAAGTGTTATTGGACCCCGAGGTTCCCGCTCTGTCGTTGGCCTGGCCCCAGGGCAGCTGGTCCTGGAATGCTCAGTGGAGGCAGAGCCAGCACCTGAGATCAAGTGGCACCGGGACGGTGTCCTGCTACAGGTGGGTGTCACACTGGGGACCTCGGGACTCTGCCATCTGTGACTCTCAGGCCCTAGTCACTGACCAGACCACACTCAGATTGCTGAGATCACGCCTTGTCTGTTTTTGTCCTATCCGCATTCTCCTACTTCCTGAAATTTTTGTCATCCCCATTTCATGGATGGGAACACTGAGGCAAGGCTGGGTTTTGCTCTGAGGCTTCTCCCCATCTCATCTTCTAGTTGCACTTAATGGCTATGTGACTTGGGCAAGTTACTGAGATTTCTCTCCAGTGGGACCAGTTGCTGTGAAAGAACCTAGAAGCATAGGCTTTGTAGTGTGGGTTCTAATTCCTTATCTGGGCATCATTCCCTGTGGCCCCCAGACAGCACCCAGATAGGGTGCTCACCCTTTGCCAATGCAGCCCATTTCCCCAGAGGCTCATCAACTGGTTATCAAATCAGGGCTGCTCAGAATGGAGCAGAGCCCTGGCTGAGCTCACTGCTTCCTCAGCCCTCCTTCCCTGCGACTGGCAGAGGGGCCTGAGGCCTGGCACAGAGCTAATGAGGTTCCTTTGCCCCTCGGCACTCTGCAGGCCGATGCCCATACACAGTTCCCTCAGCGGGGCAGGTTTCTCAAGCTGCAGGCCCTGAGCACAGCTGATGGTGGCAACTACAGCTGTACAGCACACAATGCCGCAGGCAGCACGAACGTGGCTTTCCACGTGGACGTCCACAGTGAGTGCACCCCCTATGCCCGGCTGCTCCCCCGATGCCCCTGCGGTCTCCAGCACCTGCTTTCTCCACTTCTCCTCCAGTGACACCCACCATCCAGCCCGGGCCATCCACAGTGAACGTCACAGCAAACCAGACAGCCCTGTTGACCTGCCGGGTTGACGGAGTTCCCCCACCCCTCGTGAGATGGCGGAAGGATGGGGATCCGCTGGATCCTGGGAACCCAAGGTGGGAGCTGGAAGGGGGAGGGTGCTGGAAAAGGTCTCAGGTACCACTCTGCAGAGTATTAACAAAATTCTGCTCAGACAGTTGGAACAGGCCATTAACTTTATTGTCAGAGAACACGATGCCTCTCAGGACAGGGCATGTCTGGTTAGTCAGGGTGCTGAGACGTTATCTGTTTCTTTGCATGGGGGGTGTGTGTATGTGTGTGATGCCTCTCTTTCTCTCAGATCAGTTACACACATCTTCCTCAGTGCACATGGCAGGGCACCCCCAAATTTATAATTCCGTGGTCCACTCAACCTGCAGAGCCTAGCAAGGTATATGTGAGTCCCACTGTCAAAATCCCAGGGCAGAGAATCCCATTAGCATTTAGTCAACTAGCCCCAGTGACATGTCCATTCTCAGTCCAATCAACGGTGGCCAGGGGTGGGACTACACTTTGCAGATGAGGTTGTGGGACAGCCTTTGGAAAGAGGTCATTATTAGGTCTAGGGGTCATAGTTCTCAGATTTTGGGGTCATCCTCAGAAAGGGTAGAATTGCCTCTCCTTACTGAATCTCTGGGAGAGGCTGGGCCCCCAAGACACTGTCATCTTCTCTGCTGCTGGCTTGGGGTGTGGAGAGCTGCGCTATAACTGAACCTCTGACCCTTGTCCTGTTGGGTGCAAACTGATCTCTGCGTTATACCCTCTTCCAGGGAAAGATAGGGGTGAGGAGGAAGGTTTTATTGGAGATAGCACCAGGGATCCAGCCCCTCAGGGGTCCACCCCTTACCGTGGGGCCTGCCTGTCATCATGACTATCCCTCCCTCCCTCCTCTCCAGACTGGAGGTTCTGCCCGAAGGCTCCCTGAGGATCCAGCCGGTCCTGGTCCAGGACGCTGGCCACTACCTCTGTCTGGCATCCAATTCTGCCGGCTCTGATCGCCAAGGCCGTGACCTCCAGGTCTTTGGTAGGTGGGTGGGGAAGGATCTGGTCTCCGCCTTCAGTGTCTGGCCTCGGTCAGTGCTGTGTCCAGCCTGGTTTCTGGGCTACCCCAGAAATGAGAGTTGTTCTCTATAAATACCTTTCCTCCCACCACCTCTTTCCATTGTTCTGTTTATTTTGTGGGTTTTTTAATGTTTATTTTAATTGTATTTCATTGTTGTACATGTTCTTCGCCCCTCCCCTCTTCTCACTCTCTCTAAATACTTTTATAAGGAAGCCTGTTAGTAGAGCTTTTGAGCATGTACATTCAAAGTATGCATATGTTCATTTTCATGCCTGAAGTACGTACATATATATACCACTCTTCTGTCATACGGCATTCACAAAAATGTAGACATGTGAAAAGGTGAGACTAAGCATCTCTAATCTGATACCCTAATCTCTTCCCACTCCAGTTGTTGGGGGTTAATGGGGCCAGCAGAGCCCTGGAGGCCTTGTTTAGGGAGGGATAATTTGTGGGATGTCAACCTCAGTGATAAGGAAAAGCCCCAGACACCCTGGATTTAGAACCTGCTGGAATTTCCTCTCCAGCCCACTCTTCTCTTGCTTTCCTGACCATCAGTTGAAGGTCATAGCCAGTGTTCCCTTCTCCCTGCCCTCATCCTGCACCCTGTTTCCTGATGATTACTGTCTCCCCAGAGGCTCCATCTATTACCCCTGGACCCTCCAACCTGACCTTGATCGCCCACACCCAAACCACGCTACCTTGTGATGCCAGTGGCTTCCCCAAGCCCCTCGTGGTGTGGTGGAAGGATGGGCAGAAGCTGGACTTGCATCTGCAGCAGGACACCTACTGGTAATAAGCTGGTCCCTCCTGGTGACGAGTGGGCTGGGGAAGGTATCTAGGCAGAGCTTGGTCTGAAATTGAGGTAGAACAAACTTGGAGTTTCACCAAATCTGTTGCTCATGGGCCAGCACAGAACTGCCCTGTAGAGTTTCCCAGGCTGTACATCTTTATGGACACAGATTGCATGGCTCTCTCCTTCAGAGCGACTGGTGGGTTGAGCTGCTGACTTGTGGGTTAGCACCTGAGCTCTTTAACCACCACACCACCCGAGTTCCTTCTCCAAAACCAGGACCAGCACTCATACATACCCCTGACCTTGGGGGCCAGTAGAGCCTTTACACTAAGACAGATAACTGGTAGCAGATGGGAACATCTGGGACATAGAGCCAAAGAGGCAGATGTGTGACTTTTAAAACACTATGAGTCACTCTTTAGAGAGCTCTGGTGGCCTAGTGGTAAGAAACTGTGCAGCAATCCCAAAGGCACATGGTTCGAATCCACCAGCTGCTCCATGGAAAAAGCATGGGTTATCTCCTCCCTTGTGATTAACTGCCTCTGAAAGCCTAACGGAGGGTCAGCTATGGATTGGTTCCGACTTGATGGTACACAAGAACAACAACAGTCACTTTTTATTCAAAAGGACTGAGATTAGTGCTGACTGATCCTGGATATGTGGTGGCTGTTACAGGAGCCTGAGTTTCCCCTTTTAATTCACACAATGGTTAAGGGATCATTGAGAGCGTTGAAAGAGCTGATTCCCTGATAAATTTAGCAAATGCTTATTATCATGTTAGGTGCTGGGTCTGAAGCAGGTGCTCAACAAGCAACATTGTTCTGATTAGGGATTTGACTGTGGTGGTTATTATTGTAGACATTATCGTGACTGTTATTGTAGAAAATGTGCCAGGCTAGAGAAGAACACAGGGAGGAGGATAAAATCCATGCCAAATCCCAGAAGCTACAGAGTTAACTATTACTGACTATTGTGGGCTAGGTAGAACCTTCTAGAAGAAGCTTGTAGAGTCATGACCAGAATCTAGATGCAGGAAGGGGAAGTGGTCACGAGACCCCCATATCCAGACTCTCCTCAACAGTGGAAGCCATAGTGACTCCTGTCAGGCTGAACCCACTGTTCACCTGGCCGCCAACTGTCTGTCTGTCTGTCCCAGGCTCCTGCCCTCAAATGCCCTGCTCCTCAGAGACCCCAGCCCTCAGGACTCAGGCCAGTTTGAGTGTGTGGTGAGCAATGAGATGGGCGAGACCCGCAGGCTCTACTGGGTGACGGTTCACGGTGAGTGGGAGGTGCCTGAGGAAACCTGGGGCTTGGGGTTTCTCCCTCTCTTGGGTGCCCTGGTGTCCTCTTGGCCTTCTTGCTTGACGGCCACCTCCTCTATGAAGCTTTCTTCAATCTGACCTCACCCACACTGACAACGCTGGCTCAGGCACAACTCCTGGCTTGTAGGAGTGATTCCTCCACAATCCAGAACTTTCCAAGCCCAGATCTAACCTTGTTATCAACGGAGTTAAAATTCCTCTCTCCATGACTGTCTGTCGACAGCCCTCAGGACTGAATTCACAGTTCCTCCGTAGCTACAAGATCCTGCATAGCCTGCTTTCTGCCTTCCCTGGTTCATTTCACACCACAGCTAGTCTGCCCTTAACCTGCCCCGGTCCATTTCTCACCACAGCCAGCCTCACTCATCCTGGCTGTGCTGTTCAATGTCTTCCTCACTCAGAGTCTCACCCATGCTGTTCCGTTAAGAATGCTCTTCCCGTCACCCTTTATCCACCCAGGCACTGCTTGCCCTACATCTTGGGTTAAATTCCATTTCACCAAGAGACTTATCTATCCCCCACCCCCAAGCTGGATCACTTCCACAAGGCCTCCATCTCTTGAGAGAGTCCCATGAGGTGACAGAGGCCAATGTCTCTATAGAAAGCTCTTTGGGACTCTCTCTCTCTATCCATGGTAAACATATTTACTGAGTGGACGAATACGACACTCCTCTTTGCACACCCCTTGGTCACTGATGGTCCACTTTGTGCCTTCGTCTCTATTCCTGGTTCTCTGTCTTCTGTCTCTGCTGTGTGTCCCCTCAGGCACCTCAAGCTTTGCCTTGCATTTCAGTGCCTCCCACTATCGCTGATGACCAGACACACTTCACCGTGACCAAGATGGCGCCCGTGGTCCTCACGTGCCACAGCATGGGAACCCCAGCTCCCCTCGTGTCCTGGAGCAAGGCAGGCACCCAGCTGGCGGTGCGAGGGAGTGGCTATCGTGTCTCCCCTTCAGGTAAGTAAGGGTGAGCCACAGAGAGGGCTGCTAAGGAAGAGAACTGAGCAGAGATGGTCAGATGGAACATTCCAGCTCGAGCCTGTCTTACTGTGGGGCCTGAGGCATCTCCTTTAACCTCTGTGGTTCTTCTCCACACCTTGCACTTTTCAGATTCATCGTTTCCTGCTTCTAGTTGGCTAATAAGAGTTGGTTTATAGCAAAATGCGAGAAGAAAAAGTACACAGCATTTTCATAAAGCTTAGGTTGGGTTAGGTTAGATGCCACTGGGTCGACTATGACTATAGCGATCCTGTGAACAACACGTCTCAACCTGGCCCTGTCCCTGGCCTTCCTCATGATCACTGTCATGTTCAAGCCCATTGTGGTGGTCACTGTCTCAGTCCCTCTCATTGAACGTCTTCCTCTCTTTCACTGACCTTTCCCAGCACAATGTCTCTCTCCAAGGGCTGCTTCCTCCTGAGAACATGCCCAAGGTAGGTGTGGCCAAGGTTCACCATCCTTGCCTCTAAGGAGCACCCTGGTTGTACTTTCTTCAAGACAAACTTATTTGTTCTTTCGGCAATCCATGGAGTATTCAATACTCTTCACCAACACTACAATATGAAGGTGTCAATTCTTCTTCTATCATCGTTATTCCCTAACCAGCATCCAGATGCATACAAAACAGTTGGAAAGACCATGGCTTGGCTCACATGCACTTTAGTCTTTTTTTTTTCTCCTCTTCTTCTCCCTGCCTCTTTTTAAACAGTCCCTCAGTAAGGACTATCCACTTAGCTTTGTATCCAAAGACGAAATTTGTAGGTGAAAGGAGTTAGGAGTTAGCCTTCGTTACAGACTGGTTCATTTCAGGGTCGAAAATATGGAACGCTTCACGAATTTGCGTGTCGTCCTTGCGCAGGGGCCATGCTAATCTTCTCTGTATCGTTCCAATTTTTAGTATATGTGCTGCCGAAGTGAGCACTGCACTTTAGTCTTTAAACTGACACCTTCGGTCTTTAGCACAATGGAGATCCTTGATAGCCTATGTCCCCAGTGCAACATTTCTTTTGATTTCTTCACTGCTGTTACCATGAGTTGATTGTGGATCCAACTGAAATGAAATCATTGACAACTTCAATATTTTCTCCATTTGTCATGATATTTTCTATGGGTCTGTGGTAAGGATTTTTGTTTTCTTGATGTTGAGATGTCTTCTGAAGGCTGTCTTTGATCTTTTGCAGTAAGTGCTTCAAGGCTTCTTTTTCTGCAAGCAGTATTGTGTCATCTGCATAACACAGGTGGTTTTATCCAGTTAGAAGGAGCGTCCTTTATTCTGAAATGCTTTTCTTAATTTTTTTTGTGTTGAAAATTCATTTGTTTTATGAAGCTAGGGTGAAAGTGATTTGCTGTGTTGGATTTTAAAAAATGTGTCTGCTTGTCAAAATGATGGTTCGTAACATTTTTAATGGGGATTTCGCACATCTGATCCATGTATTAGGTAGTATAATCTTAAAAGTTAGGAAACACTGACTAGACCTGTGGTTTTGAAACCCTTCTGAAGCTGTGAGCTTTTCCAACGACTGGTTCCTGGAAAGCTGGAATTCAGCTTATAACAGGATGAGAACACAGGAAGAGACCCCAAGTCCAGGAGGCCTCCCCCTGTCAACAACCCCAGAAGGCCCTCGGGTTCACTGAGGAGGATTTAAGAATCACTTGGCTGCTGCACTATCTAGTCTGTAACTCAGGAAGATTAAGATAGTGTTCACTGAGTACTCAGTGCTAGGGGGAGGATGGGAGGTAACAGTAATCAGAGGAGGCTTCCTGGAGGAGGAGAGTTTTGAGCAGAATATGGTGAGGGGAGCAGAGTGAGGGCTTGAGGAAGTGTGGGTGGAACAAATCCTAAAGCATCACACCCAGAAAGATGCTCAGAAACAATTTTATGTGACTTCTCTTTAAATGCATTGGGAAACGGAGACCCAGAGAGTAAAAGGGACTTGCTGGTGGTTATGTTGTGAGCAGACACAGGCCTAGAATCCAGGTTCCCACCTTGTCTGGTCCCCAGCGTGGTCTACACATGGACAGTAGAAGCAGGGCGAGTGGCTGGAGCAGATGCCACAGTAGGGGGTGTGAGAACTGGCCCACCCCATCCCAGGGCACATCTGTTCTATTCCTTACGCCTCTCCATTCCTGGTTCCCCCAACCTGCCCACAGGTGCCCTAGAGATTGGACAGGCCCTCCCTATCCATGCCGGCCACTACACCTGCACAGCCCGCAACTCGGCTGGTGTGGCCCACAAGCACGTGGTGCTCACCGTGCAAGGTAAGGGTGCCCAGCTGGGGCAGTGGAGTAGGTGTAAGACCCAGGACAGGGGCAAAGCCAGAGGCAGATACAGTTAGGGGGCTAGGGGTGGAGCTGAGGGACCTGGGGCTCAGATGCTTGGACCTGCCCCTAATCTGATTCTGATGATATTCCTTGGGAGGGAAGAAACTTTCCACATGCCTCCATCTTGGGGAGCTTTCCAGACTCCTTGGCCGGTTTAGAGGCCCCTCTCTCCACTGCTCAGAGGCCAGTGGTTGGAGGGATCTGGCTCGAGGTGTCCCGCAGACCTCTGCCCTGTTCTCTGCAGCCTCCCCCGTAGTGAAGCCCCTGCCCAGCGTAGTCCAGGTGGTGGAGGAGGAGGAGGTGCTGCTGCCTTGTGAGGCCTCGGGCATCCCCCGGCCAAGGATCACCTGGCAGAAGGAGGGACTCAGTATCCACACAGGTGAGTCTCCTGGCAGCTGGCAGGCAGAGGGGAGAGAAGAGCCCTGGACATCTTCCTCCTGCCTCGGACACTGCAAGCCTGCTGAGAAGCTTCCAGAAAGCCTCTACCTTGTTGTGTGCACCCCCACACCACACCTCTGCCCTCGCTTTACTTGCCCTCTTGTGGTCTCTTCTCACCAGCCGAGTCTGCATGCCATTTGGACACAGAGGTCAGGTGGGGAGGTGGGAGAGAGAGAGATGACCAGCTGAGTACTGGGCTTGACAATGCTTTTCACCCCCTGACAACAGCCAGTCACCTTGGCTGCCAAGTCAAGCAGGACTGTCCATGCCACCCATTTCCCAGCCCCTGATTTTCTCCCACCACATCCAGGAATGAGGACACAGGTTCTCCCCAGCGGACAGCTGCGTATTACCCATGCCAGCCCAAAGGACACTGGGAACTATTTCTGCATCGCACAGAACAGCGCAGGAAGTGCCATGGGGAAAACGCGGCTTGTGGTGCAAGGTGGGCCCCTGGGAGGGGACGAGGTGGCCAGCTGTGAAGAGATGAGGTGGATCCCTGGGAGGGGGCGAAGTGGACCCAGTGAAGTTGGGCCCCTGAGAGGGGGCGAGGTAGACCCAGTGACCGGCAACTGCTGAGAGTGTTTTCCTCTGGTGCAGAGGCATTAAGGCCGACAGATCAGGGAACGTGCCAGCATCATCAGCCCACACACTGCTTGTGGACATAAGCAACTGAGGGAAAACATCTTCTCTCCTCTGCCTCCCAGTTAATTCTTGCCCCTACTGCTCTCTTTCTTCCCCCTCTTGTGATATCCTCATTAATTCTGACTTTTCAGAAACAGAAGACATTTCTGTCCCTTTTCTTGCTCAAGCATAAAATGAAATGTGTTCTTTTAGAACAGTCACTGTCTCTAAAGATACAAGATATGTGATAGGTCAAAAATCTGCCAACTGCCTTGGAAAATGCTCTGTTTAGAGCGATCTGTGCTGTGTTTTGGGTGGCCATCGCTCTGGACTCCTGTATATCACTGGTTTTGACTCAAGCAACACCCTCTATCTTTGCTGTGAACTCAGAGGGGTCCTTAGCTTCACACCTGCTTCCCAAGCCTTCTTGAACAGAGGTGGCCCAAAGCATTGCTGGTCATCACCCAAAGACCCAGACAGCAAACCTGACCAGTCAATGGCCTTCACTCTGTCCCCAGCCTCCCCACCTCATGTGTGCGTATGCCATTGTGTCTCTCTGTCAAAATATTGCAATTACCTAGTATTACCATAAAAGTAATACCAAAATGGTGACCTTAAAGAACAGAAGTTTATTTTCCTACAGTTTGGATAGGAGTCTAACCAGAGCTCTGGCCATTTCAATTCGTTGTTGGTAGCCCTGGACCTGCTTTTGTTCCTTGACTGATAGGTGAACCTCGCTTGACATCTGTCTGCTTTGTGTTTGTCTCTGTATCCGTTCAGCTTCTGAGCATTCAGAAGTGATTAGATTTAGAAAGCATCCTAAATCTCAGTTTAATAAATAGAGTGTAGTCAAATTAACATAACAAGGAAAATCCTGTTTCCAAACAGAATCCCATCCACTGGCATAAAGGTTAGGATTCCAGCACACATTTTGGAGAAGGGACACGGTTCAGTCTCTAACACACAGCTTCACCAAACTCTAGAGAATCCCAAACTTATCCAGGCTGCAGGGGCAGAGATTTGAGGGGACCAACAAATGGAGGTAGAGGGAGACTGAGAGCCCATGGGCACTAGGACAGGGACAGGCCACTAAGTGGATCTTCCTCTCCCCCCAGTCCCACCCATGATCGAGACTGGCCTCCCCGACCTGTCCACCACCGAAGGTTCTCATGCCGTCTTGCCCTGCACGGCCACGGGCAATCCGGAGCCAGACATCACCTGGGAAAAAGATGGACAACCTGTGTCTGGAGCTGAGGGCAAGTTCACGATCCAGCCTTCTGGGGAGCTACTGGTGAAGAACTCAGAGGTGAGGGCCTGGGCCATGGGACACAGTGGGGATCACAGGAGCAAACCCTGACCAAACTGTATCTCATGCTCTGTTCTGAGCCCCATGTGGTCTTTCAAATGCAAGAACCCTGGGAGGAGGGTGTTATCATCCCACAGAGATATGGAAACCAAGGTTCAGAAAGCATCGAGTTTTCTCAAGACATGTTGCTGTCAAAAGGCAGAACCAAGACTTGAACTCAGACCTTCTTAGCGAGCTCCTGAGAGTGGGAAGGAGCCTGGGCCCTGGGCTCACGTGTGTGTGTGTGTGTGTGTGTGCGCGCGTGCGCGCGCTTTGTGTCCTCAAACTATGCATGTTGGTTCTCAAACCACCCTGATATTGATGCTTTCCTCATTCTGGGATGGAATTGAGCCAGGACACAAATGAAGATCCCAGCCCATTTGCCCTGTCACCACTCATTTGAGTCTGTGATTGTAAAATCGGGGGATCCCCAGGAATGGATGAAACACATGTCCGGCGATGGGTCCTGAGGCCTTGGACCTGCACCAGAGTTCCATATAGGGCAGTAGAGAGCTCTCCAGCTCTGTCCAAACACACCCCATACTTCTCTGAGCCTGGCTGCATCCTCCATAAAGAGACCTCAAAAGTAGGACCTGCCTCAGACATAGGGTGAGCATGGGATGGTCTGAGCACCAGGCCCAGCACAGAGTAGGTGTTCCATAAATGCTGCGTCTGTGGGACCAGGGCCCGGTCTGTGAGGATGCAGAGCTGTACAGACTACAGGGGTGACGCTGAGCCCTGTGCTGGTCAGGAGACCATGTGCTAGTCACTTCCCCACACTGGGCTGGATGCTCATGGCAGGGAGTGAATCCTGAGGACATTCTGGCCAGGCTGGGGCCCTGCTCTCAGGCTGACCTCTCCCTCTGCCCACAGACCCAGGACGCGGGCACGTACACCTGCACAGCCCAGAACACAGTGGGTCGTGCCCGCCGCCGTGTGCACCTCACCATCCTGGCACTGCCTGTGTTCACCACCCTCCCTGGGGACCGCAGCCTGCGTCCGGGGGAGAGGCTATGGCTCCGGTGTGCGGCCCGGGGCAGTCCTACCCCCCGCATTGGCTGGACCGTCAATGACCATCTGGTCACAGGTCTGGGGCTGCTGTGGGTGAGTGGGAGGGTGGAGAGAGGTGAGCAGATAGGGAGACCCTACCTAAGTGGAGGCAAAGAGGGTCTCGGCTCATCCTGTGTATCAGTCCTGTGGGTGCTATGTGAGGGATTGGGACAAAGCCATGTGCAACTACCTTGCCTTGTCCCAGCCCACATCAGAGCAGGTGAGAGCCACCTATGCAGTGTGACACTTGCCCTGGACACCCAGAGGCCGCGTGGAAAGGCCTGCTCTGAATGCCTTTCCCTGGGAGTGCTGTCTCCCCACCTGGGAACCAGGAGGTGTTCAGGTGGCACAGAGCCCTCGCGGGGCATTGCAAGTGGTCAGTGAACATCTGCTGAATTGATGGGTTGTTGAGACCCCTCCATTGTAAAGTGACATCTTCTTACATTACAATGTGACACCAGGGCTCTCAGAGCCCAACTTCATCTGTGAAAGAAGCTTTGCAGAAGACTTAAGAAGACTTAACACAGGGGTACACCTTGCACCAAACCTCATCCAGAGCAAATGCCCCATCAGTGGTACCACTTATACATACTCTGGTTATAAGGGCAGCTTCTTACCTGAGACAAAAACTTTTAAAACCCATTAATAAGTTATGTCTGCATATAAACACCATGGCAATGTTTACTGTAAATGCCTTGTGTTAACTGGCCCCCCAAAGACCTAGCCTTGGCCAGTCATTAAAATCACTGTGGCCCTGAAAATGCTTACATCTTTGAACGTGGCCTGTGCCTCCTTGAACATGTCTGACTTGGTTAGACTTTGTTTTCCATGCCTTTATTAAGCCCCTACTAAGTGCTTGATAATGACCTGAGTTACACATGCTGTTTTTCTTGTGAGCCATTGAGTTGGAATGAACTGAGAGCTGCCCCTCCAGCAGATTTTCAGAGGCTGTAAATCACATGGGAGGAAATTTCCCATCTTTCCCCCTTGGAGTAACTGGTAGATTTGAATCCTTGCCTTTGGCTTGAGAGAGTTCTAGTGGCCTAGTGGTAAGAAACTACACTGCGATCCCAAAGGCACATGGTTCAGATCTACCAGCTGCTCCACAGGAGACAGATGGCCAGTTTCCTTCACACGATTGAAGGCCCTGAAAACCCACTGAAGGGCCAGCAATGTGTCAGTTCCAACTCGATTACACACAACAACTTTGGGTTGACAGCACCACTCCTTACACACTAGCCACCAGAGCTCCCTTAGTTAAGTGTGGAGAGCAGGGGTTTCCTGTCTCCGTCTGCTCAAAGTCCCCTTGGGGTGTCTTTCTCCTCTACAGAGGGGGTGTCAGAACAGGATGGGGGCAGCACCCTGCAGCGAATGGCTGTCACCAGAGAGGACAGCGGGGTCTACATTTGCTGGGCAGAGAACAGAGTGGGCCGTGTGCAGGCCACCAGCTTCGTCCATGTGAAGGGTAGGTGCACCTGCATGGCTCTTCTCCCCCGATCCTCTGCAGGGCCAAACCTACTGGGTTTTAAGCTGCACTCCCTGGCTGTGCATTAGATTGTTGGGGAACATTCTAGAATATGAGAGCGAGCTTCGTCTGTAGACTAAATCAGAGCCTTGAGGGTAGTCTGTATGCTCCTCAGAGGACTCTGGGTACAGGTAGAATTGAGAATCTGACCAGCTGTCCTGCAGCACCACCCCCAGGTGGGCAGGGAGGCATGGAGGGCTGGTACCCAGGCAGAAAGGTCCCCTGTGGCCCTGCTCCCCAGGAGTACACTGCAACCTTCAGTGACATTGTGTGACTTAGTCTGATCATCTGCAGGATGTGTTAGGCGAGACTTGATGGAGGGTTTGAATAACAAAGGATGACGAGACATAGCTATGGCTTTTGGTAGCTTCACTCTCAGAAAGGCGGAAAGACGGGAAATTGCACAGGGCATCCCAGGTGAAATGTGATTCAAAGGAGTCTTTTGTCTACAACGGAGGTGTCTTAATGATCACAAAATCTTTACTTTCCAAAGGACAGAGCAGGGGGCTGTGCAGTGGGGTAATCCATCTTTGAGAGTGAGCATCTGAAAAGCAGAGCACCGTGTTCCAGCCTGTGCCTCTTGCAGGGCTATTCAGTCACAGCGCTATTCAGTCACAGTGCTATTCAGTCACAGCCTGTTCCTGCTTTGCCTCAGAATCCATCTCAGCACAGGACTCTGGCAGACACCACCAGTCTTTCCGATTTGACCCATGACAATGAAATTGTTTGCCATCCTTGATGCATTCATTGAGGGCAGAAATTGGGTGCTCTGAGTTTGAAAAGAACCTTGTTCCTGACCCCTTGTCTGATGTTACTTGTTCAGAGGCTCCCATCCTACAAGGGAAGGCTTTCTCCCACTTGGTGGAACCCGTTGGGGGCAGCATCCGGCTAGACTGTGTGGTCCGTGGGGATCCAGTGCCCAACATCCGCTGGGTCAAGGATGGCCTTCCATTGAGGGGCAGCCTTCTCCGCTACCAGCTGCAGAATGGGTCCCTGATCATCCGCAAGACAGAGGTAAGGGGTCCCAGTGCCTGGAAGTGGGGCCACCGGGATAATCCTAGACTCTTTCTGTGTGTTCCTTGGGGATCTCCAGGCTGATGCTGCACTCCACACTTTACAAAGCATTTTCCTGTCATGGATTTCCTGTGACTTAATTTTTCTGTACCTCAGTTATTCCACCCATTCCATGGGGCTAGTATTGTTTCTGCTTCATAAGTTTATCACTAGAAAACAATGTGAGGGACCATCTCAAGTACAAGTGTGAGTGATCCTTGGATTTGAGCCAGTTAATATTCTTTTTAACAAGCCTATGGGGCAGGCTAGGCAGGTAATGGTGCCTCATTTCACAGACGGCGACACGAAGAAGAGATGCCCACGGACACACAACCGTGAAGTTCAGAGGCAGGACAAACCACGATTTATTTTATTCTTGTTAATTCTATTGTGAATAGAATTGTTCTCTTAGTTTTGTTGTTTAAAATTGTTTCTTGCTAGTACACAGAAGTACAATCGGGTCTTCTGATTCCTACTCCATACTGTTTCCAAAATCTTGGACATTCTGGCTGTTCCTTCCCCCTCCTTTCCTATATCCCAAGGCCAGTGATACTGTTGTTGTTGTGTGGCATCAAGTCAGAACTAATCCATAGTTGCTCCTCAAGCATGTTTTCAGAGGCAGTAAATCACACGGGAGGAGACTGCCCTTCCTTCTCCCGCAAGGCAGCTGGTGAACTCAAACTGTGTGCCTTTGGTTTTGCAGCGCAGCTTCTTACCACTAGACCACCAGAGCTCCCTAGTGATGATGATGATAATGATGATGATGATGATGATGATGATGATGATGATGATGTTGTTGTGTGTGCCACTGAGTCAGAACCAACTTCTAGCTGATCCTTCACTGGGTTTCGGAGACAATAAATTGCACAGGAGGAGATTTCCCATCTTCCTGTGGAGCAACTGGTGGGTCCGAACTGTGTGCCTTTGAGATTGCAGCACAGTTTCTTACCATTAGGCCACCAGGGATGACATGGAAATCCACAGTTCAGCCCAGCTTCAAGATCCTCCTTAGGGTCCTGGATCTCACCAACCTGGGAACCTGTCTCTGGATAATAATAATAGGATGAATAATAATAGCAACACTAATATAACAGAGGGGGTTCTCCTGGTGTGCAGAGAGAGCTGTTAACCCGAAGGCAGTTCGAGCAGCTCTGAGGGAGAAAGACGGGCAGTCTCCTCCCTGGACATCTACAGCCTTGGAAAGCCAATGGAGGGGCGCGAGGACTCTGAGGTGGAACTGCCTCCATGGTGGTGAGGCTGAGGCTGGGTAGCAGTAGTGGAACCTGGTGGAGCAGTGGTTAAGCACTTGACTTCTAAATGAAAGGTCTGCCATTTGCTCCCAGAAAGATGACACGGTCTTGTCTCTGTGGGATCTACCATCTCGTAAGCCTCTGGGGCATCTACGCCATCCTGTGTGGTCACTGTGGGGTAGAAGCTGTGGGTTTGGACTTGGGGTTGGGTTTTAGTGGTAATTGCAGAAGGAATAATGGCCACCATTCCCTGAATACTTACCGTGGGCCAAGAGCTGTGCCTCACATTTTGCAAGCATTTTATTTAATGCTTACAGCAGTCCTAGATGTTTGTATCCCCATTTTAAAGATGAAGTAACTGAGGATCCAGAACCATAGTGACAGTCTAGTAATGAACACAGTATGGTAAATGGTGGAACCAGGATTTGGTCCCATATTGACCTGACCCTCAAATTGATACTCTTCACCAAGCCAAGTTGTCCCCTAATGGTCCCTTAGAGGTGGCCTCCAGCGTATCATTGTTTAGGGGTGGACAGTGGTCCCATACCATACCCCAGGGCCATCATGTGGCAGCGTTACTACCCAGAAGTGAATCTGAACTAGCGTTTTTCCTAAGCTCCATAGCACCCACGTTCACAGATAGATAGCCTGTGAGCAAAACTTCCCAGAATGTAAATTTGACTCTGAGATTTCATGTCTTGATCTGTAAAATAGGAGTTTGAGAGGAGGTACCCTGGTGGGGTGGTGGTTAAAGGACTTGACTGCTAACCAAAAGGTTGGCAGTTCAAGCCCACCTAGCGCTCTGTGGGAAAAAGATGGTGGCAATCTTCTTCCTCTTGGAAACCCTGGGAACATTTCTGTCCTGTCCTAGCAATCACCATGAGTCAGCATTGTGTCAGGCTTTATAACTCAGTTGAGGAAATGTTGCAAAATCTCTCTCATTCTGAAAAACCAATGAAGCCCAGTGGTATGATAAAAGCCCAGGAAATCCTACAGTCCAGAAACAGGTTATCCAGCTCATAGTTTTCTATACTATTTAACAATGGAACTCATTTTTTTCAAGGAAGCTTCAGTAGTGTGCAAATAATGGAACGATAATATTTCAATATACACAGATTGGAAGAACATGAGCCAAATGGCTTCTCCAGCCTGTGGTCCCACCAAGGATGACAAATCCATACCCTTAATCACAACACTCCACCCCAGTTCCAAGCTAGGAGTCAGGTCTGTGTTCTCTTTGAGCCTCTACTAACAAGTGGCCACAGAGACCTTCTGGTGCTTTGAGGGAAATCCATGGGGCCCCTGCTGGTTTCTACTCTAAGCTCCCTCCTGATTAGATGGTCCAAAGTCCCTTTGCAGACCCAGTACCCTCTTCCTCATCCTCCACTCCTGACACCTCTCTACCCTCATGTGCTCCCCTCAGATGGACGACGCTGGACGATACCAGTGCCTGGCTGAAAATGAGATGGGTGCGGTGGAGAAAGTGGTGGTCCTCGTACTTCAGAGTGAGTCCCAGCACCCCTGGCCTGGCCTTGGCTCTCTCAGGACAGGGATGGGAGTGCTCTCAGGCAAGAGTTGTATGGAGGCTGTGCCTGGTTCAGCCTTGGCTGCCTGAAAAGAACAGAGGCTAGATGGGCAAGACCGGGTTTAGAAGACAGCTTATTCAGAACACACAATACAAATCCTTTAGAACTGGGGTGGTTACTCAGAGTTGGAGCTAATGAATAACCCAGACCTGGAGGGGAAAACTCCAAAGTGTCACCGAGACCACAGCAACAGCCTTTGATTTATCACACAGTTTACAAAGCCCTAACTGAGCCTCAAAACAAGCCTGTAAACCATCTAGATTGAGATTTTTTTAATGAAACTTTTTATTGACACATAGAAAAGGGCTTGTTAAGTATTATTGAATTCAATGAGTTTTCTCAACATGAACCCATACATTTAGCCTGCATCCATAGATCAGAAAGCAAATTGGCATATACCCCCCAGAATACTTATCCACAAGTCTTTGTGCACCTCTCTCTTGTCATGTGTCTTGGATAGAGTTCCAGAAGTGTCATTTCTTGATTAGTTAGTGTATATTTAACTTTCCAAGAAACCACAAAATTACTTTTGCAAAGTGAACTGTTTTTGCTTTCCTGTCAGTGGTATGAGAGAATTTCAACTTCTCTGTAGACTCACCAACAAATGATAATGCGTCTTTTAGTTGAACCACATTTAGTGTATAAGAGCCTTGGTGGAACAGTGTTAGAGCACTTGGCTGCTAACTGAAAGGTTGGCAGTTTGAACCCATCAATCCTTCCATAGAGGAAAGAGTTGGCAATCTGCTCCTAAAAGATTACAGCCTGGAAGTCCTAAAGGGCAGTTCTGTTCTGTGCTCCAGGATCTCTGTGACTCAAAATTGACTTTACAGCGGGGTGGGGGGGTGGGGGTGTTAGTTGTAGTGGGTGTGAAAGGAGGAGCCTTGGTGGGGCAACAGTTAAGCTACTGGCTGCTAATGGGTGGTTTGGACCTACCAGCGGCTCCATGAGAGAAAGATCTGGTGTGATCTTTGCCTGTAAAGATCTCTCACACACTCGGCCCTGCGGCCCATCGTCCTGTGACTCAGCACTGACTCTCCCTTGGGTTTCCAAGGCTGTTAATCACACAGGAGGAGACTGCCCATCTTCAACCCAAGCAGCAGGTGGGGGAACTGAACTGCCAGAGAGACGCCGCCTTTGGGTGGCAGTGCTGCTCCCCACAAAAACCACCAAAGCCCCCTCTTGTAAAGGTCACAGCCTAGAAAAGCCTGAGGGGCAGTTCTGGTCTGTCACATGAGGTCAGTAAGAATTGACGTGAACTCTGCAGCAGCTAAAAGCAGTGGATATGAAGTGGATTTAGTTTGCATTTCTGTAATGACTAATGATGGAAAGCATCTTTTCAAATGCTTCTTAGCCATTCATATCTCTTTTTTTCCATCTCTATTCAAATCTCTTGCCTGTTTCTAAATGGGTTTGATTATATGATTGATGAAAGGCCAAAAGAATAAACAGATCTGTCTTGGAGGATGTGCCGCCAGCGAGCTCTTTAGAGGTAAGACTGGAGAAACTGGGTCTCACGTACTTGAGGCATGTCAGGAGGGGTCATCCTTGGAAAAAGACCTCGTGCTGGAAAAGGGGGAGAGTCAGTGAAAGAGAGGAAGACCCTCAGCAGGATGGGTTGACACGGTGACTGTGACAGTGGGCTCGAGCGTGACAGAGATCGGATGATGTAGGAAAGGGCGTGATTCTCAGCTCTTCAGAATTGCTGTGTGTCACAGTGGACTTGGGACACCTAACAACAACAACCGGAGTTCGTTATATGAAGCTGTGATATGTTGTTGTTGCAGTGTTGTTGGTGGTGGTGTTGATTGCCTTCGAGTCAAGCACAACTCATAGCGACCCTATGAACAAAAGGCCTGAAGCCCGTCTACACCATCGACATTTATCAAAGTTCTTAGAGTTTAAAGAAGCATGTTGTTTAGGAAGTGGATTATTTGAAAATATTTTGCCCTATTCTATGGCTTGTTGTTGTTGTTGTTATGTGCCATTGAGTTGATTATGACTCATAGCGACCCTATGTACAAGAGCTCTAAATGCTGTTCTATCCTGTGCCAACCTAGCCATCTCAAACGCACTTATCCCACCACTCCAGTCACAGAATCGATCCATCTCATCTAATCTCATCTAAGGTCTTCCTCTCCTTCGCCGCCCCTCCACACTGCTAAACATGATGTCCTTCTCCAAGGACCAGTCCCTCCTTGCAACATGCCCAAAATATGTCAGGTGAAGCTTCAGAATCCTTGACTCCAAAGAGTCTTCTGCTTCACCCTCTCCAGGACAAACCTGTTTGTTCTCCTAGCAGTCCATGGTATATTCAACACTCTTCTCCAGCACCACAGCTCAAAGGCATCAATTCTCTTTCTATCAACCCTATTCACTGTCCAACTCTCTGATGCATAGCATGTAATTGCGAAGAGCCCGGATCAGGTGCACCTTAGTCTCCATTCTGACATCGTTGCTCTTCAGTACTCTTGAGAGGTCCCTCACAGCTGACTTTCCCAATGCAATCATCTCTTGATTTCCTGGCTGCTGTTACCAAGAGTGTTGATTGTGGAGCCAAGTAAAGTAAAATTGTTAACTATCTCAATCTCTTCACCATCCACCCTGATGCTGCCAATTGGCTCAGTGGTGAGAATCTTTATTTTCTTGATGTTGAGCTTCAGTTCATATAGGCGGCTGCGGTCCTTGATCTTCTGCAGCAAGCGCTTCAGGTCCTCCTAAGTTTCAGCAAGCAGGGTTGTGTTATCTGCATAATGCAGGTTGTTGATGACTCTTCCATCAATCCTAATGCCACATTCTTCTTCGTATAGCCCAGTGTCTCGGATGATCTGTTCTGCATACAGATTGAAAAGGTATGAAGACAGAATACATCCCTGACGAACCCCCTTCTTGATTTTGAACCATGTAGTGTTTCCTTGCTCTGTTCTGACAACTGCCTCTTGGTATAAGTATAGGTTTCACATTAGCACAATCAAATGTTCTGGGATTCCCATTCTTCTGAGTCAGCCATGGCTTGTTGTGATGAATTTATTAATTTTGGGGTTTTTATGGATCCTGTGTTGTGGTGGTGGTGTACCGTTGAGTCAGATCCAACCCATAGCTGACCCTCCGGTGCGTTTTCAGAGGCAGTAATCATGCAGGAGGAAATTGCCCATCCTTCTCCCATGGAGCAGCTTGTGGATTTGAACTACATGCCTTTGAGATTGCAGGGCATCTTCTTGCCACTAGGCCATCAGAACTCCCTGTATCCTGTGTTAGAATCTAATTTTTAAAAATCTTTGTCTAAACTCAGCCCATGTTGTCTTCTAGAAGTTTTATAGTTTTAGTGAGTTAATTTTTGTTTGAGATAAGGCTCTACATTCTTTTTCTTTCTTTTTTCATATGGAAATACAAATTTCTAGTGCCAGTTATTTAAATTGTCTTCATTTATACCTAGCAATTTAGGTAAATTTGCTTTCTAGTTCTAGGTTTTTGATTGTTTGGAGAGTTTTTTTTGTCAGATTTCTTAAGATTTTCTACATTTAATACATGTTTATGTTGTTGTCAACATCGAGTCAGAACTGAGTTATAACTGACTTTTCAGCAGATTTTCAGAGGCAATAAGTCACACAGAAGATTACTTGTATGTCTTCCATGTAGCAGCTGGTGGATTCAAACTGTGTACCATTGTGTTGGCAGTGCAATTCCTTAACATTAAGCCATATTTAGAGAGCTTTGATGGCTTAGTTAGTGGTAAAGATATTATCTTTGAATCCGTCAGCTGCTCTGCAGGTGATGGGCCACTCATGTGATTTATAGACTCTGGATACCTGTTGGAAGGTCCGCTACGAGTCAGTTCTGACTCTATGGTACACAACAATAAGAAGCCATGTTTATGATGTTGTTGCCGTTGAGTACGACTCATAGTGACCCTATGAACAAAATAGCTAAAGCCTGTTCTATAACTATCATTGTTTCTCTATGTTCATAGAGTTTCCAAAGACATGTGATTTAGGAATTGGATGCCACTCCTGCCTCCAAACCTGAATCAATTTGGAAGCTCCACCAAACACTGTCCACGATGGGTAACCATTATGGCGTTTGACATACCTAAGGTCCATACTACCACTTTTTTTAAATACAGGCATGCCCATCAAGTGCTGGTTGACTCTAAACCAAGAGACCCCCAGCCCACAGCTCACTGTTAGCTAAATCTGGCAAGTCCAATCAGCTGACACCTGCTTGTGGATGAAAAATCCAAAAAGAAAGACAATTTTATCACTTTCTAATATTTAGTTTCTCTGTATTAGTATATAGCATTGACTGGAACCTCTGGTACAATATTGAATAACAGTGTTGAGGGAATATTACCTTATTCGAATTTTAGGGGAAAGGGAAGTATATAAACTATAGTTCTTCTTAGATATTCTTTCTCATAAAAAAAACCTTCACAATTGTCAAGATCCTGGAAGCAGGAGTGGCATCCACTTCCAAAATGGCTTGCCTCCGGAAACTCTATGCACAAACAGTGCTCAGGCTGTTCGTTCATAGGGTCGCTATGAGTCGTCTGCGACTTGACGGCATTAAACAACAACAACATTGTCAAGTTGGAACCCACTTGTGGGCTGACCCTCCAGTGGGTTTCTGAGGCTGTAAATAGCACAGGAGGAAATTGCTCATCTTTCTCCCTCAGAGAAGGTGAAGAAAATCTGCTTTAGTGCTAGCTTGAGAGCTTTTTTTCCATACACAAGGTAGATTTCTGATTCCAGCTGGGTTTATAATTTCTGCCTTTTGACTGCAGTGTTTAGTCTATTCACAGATAATGTAGTTATTGATATTGTTTGCTTTATGTCTGCTGTTTTACTGTTTGTTCTCTATGTCATCTTTGTTTCTCCCTTACTATCTTCTTTTGTATTAAACAAATATGAACATTGTGAAGTAAAAGGAAAAAATGGGTATTATATTATTATCATGTTTTCATAAGGAAAACAGAAATATCTGCAAGTATAATGTCAAGAAGGGAACACTCAGGAATTAAGATGGGTTGCAAGCTCTTTCTCTTTATCATTTTAAATCTGTCTAAATGCACATATGTAGCCTGAAACCATGAAAGCACTCCTCTGAAGTTATCCTGGCTTCCTGCAGGTGCCCCAGTGTTCCAGGTGGAGCCCCAGGACGTGACTGTGAGATCTGGGGAGGACGTGACCTTGCTGTGCCAGGCCATTGGAGAGCCAATGCCCACGGTGGAGTGGCTGCGGGCAGGCCAGCCCCTGAGGACCAGCCGGCGACTCCGGACCCTACCTGATGGCAGCCTGTGGTTGGAGCGCGTGGAGGCCAGGGATGCAGGCGTCTATGAATGTGTTGCTCATAACCTCCTGGGAGCTGCCACGGCCCAGGCATTGTTGGCTGTGAGAGGTAGGACGCATCCTTGCCCAGAACCTTCATAAGCAGAGGAAGGACCTTGTACATGGCAGGGATTTGTGTGTGGCTTTTGGGGTGGGAGACTGCTGTTGTGTACCATACGAACTGACCCATCATTGACCCCCAGCGGGTTTTCAGAGACAGTAAATTGCACAGGAGGAAACTGTCCATCTTTATCCCATGAAGCTGCTGGTAGATTCAAACTTCATACCTTTGCATTGAACCTGGCCTATTTTTCTGTTGTTATGTTATGTGCCATCAAGTTGACTGTGACTCATAGTGACCCTAAAAACAACATTTCAGCACCCTGCCCTGTCCTACACCATCATCATAGTTTCTGCCAGTCTCAAGACCCTTGTTCCATTACGATGTCAGTCCATCCTGCTGAAGACCGTCCTTTCTTTCTCTGACCCTCCACCTTCCCTAGCATGATATTTTTCCAAAGACTGGCCCCCCCTGACAACACAGCTGCACACATTCATTCATAATAATCAGAATATGGAATGTGCTTTCCTGCTAGACCCCCAAGTCTCCTCTTTGCTAAGAGTCTCAAACTTAAAAGGAGCCTGACAGACTATCTTATCTACTTTGCTCTCCTGCAGCTGAGAAAATTGAGTCTTAGAGATATTAAGTGTTTGGAGCTCATTTAGGGCAAGGAACCCTGGCTACTCTAGCTTATGTGGCAAAGACAGGTGTCGTCTCTTTGGACAGCACAGCCCTGGGATGTGGGTAGAGTCAAATAGGTACATCCAGGATGCTCACCTTGGATATACATCACTGTGAAAGTCTATAAATTAATGCTTGCCCTACACTGCAATCCTAAAGGTAGTTGGTTCAAATCCAGCAATCTTCTCTTGTACCAGTTGGATCTGATTAGATGGCAAATGAGAAAAAGAAAAAATAAGTAATGCTTGTCCTGAGCTTCCCTTACTCAGTAAAGAATATTGGTTACTAATCCCTGCCATCATAGGGACTCCTTCCTCCCTCGGGCCAAACTAAACTTTAAAACTGAGAAAAGCGCTATCCTGAGAAACCACTGTAAAATGACTCAGACCCACATGAAAGAATTTCCCAGAATATTATTTCTGAATGGTCTGCACCTCTCAAGTAAATACTTCATACTCATAGCTTAACATCTATACCCCTGTCCCTGGCAGGCATGGCTAATCCATCTCCACATGCGATGTCAGATTTCTCTTCTCCAGGCCTTACCTCTCAACTAACTGGAATTGGACTGGGAGAGAACACACTTGACACTCTGTTTCTTGAAACCCACTGCTAGTCAACCACAGACCCTTTCTGTTTTCTGGTCTCCTTGTCTTTCACAAGAGTGAGATGTCAGCAAATGCAGCTCTGAAAATTCAGTGGTTTAGAAATTCAGTGGAAATTTCACAGACATCCACCGCAGACAGTATATCTGAAGCAGCTTTAGACCTGCCAGATGTTCCATCTATTTCAGATCCTGGTCCCAATTCTCACCCTTTCCTGTTGAGATGCCCCCAACTCAAATCATGGAAGTCTGCACATAATCTGTTTATCAGCAGAAGCAATGGTTCTCCCTCATCTATGCTAATTGTGGGTAGGTGAGATGATACTGAACTCTATGAAGAAAAAAGTAGTTATTCACTCTTTCTCATAATTTAATGACCAGAAATAGGAGTAGTATGGGCAGTTATTGGAACATATTCTTCCATACTTTTTTCCACAATGTTTCATGACAATAAACACCAGTCCACATCTTCACTAATGGCTTCATATCATTCCATTGAAGAAGAAACTTCTTTAACTCAACTAAGGCTAACTTTGTTTCTTTTTCAGTAGATCTTGCACAAACTACACTGTGGCATCAAGTTTGTGTACTGGAATAGATATTTCCATAGGATAAATTCCTTTAAGGGACAGTGCTAGATAAAAATCCCCAAAATATTCCATGTTTTAGATGTCCTTAATGAAGGGGCTTTGTAGTGTGGTATATAGTGTTGCATAGTGACTAAAAGGTTGGTAGTTCAAATTCACCACAATGCTTCTAGGGAGCTTACAATTGGCTATTAACCTAAAAGTGGGCAGTTCAAACCTATCTTGCAGCTCTGTAGAAAGTAGTCTGTAAAGATGGCAGCCAAGACAGCTCTAGGGAGTAGTTTTACTTATGCGGTCACCATGAGTCGAAATAGACTAAATGCCAGAGTTTGGGGCTTGCAGGGAAGATATTGAGATACATTGACAGAGAACTACCAGAAATAGAACCCAAATCTAGACGAGGCCGTGGCACTTGAGACTTTATCACCAATGTCAGATGGATCTTGGCTGAAAGTAGAGAATACCAGAGGAATGCCTATCTGTGTTTCATTGACTTTGAAAAGGCATTTGACTGTGTGGATCACAACAAATTGTGGCTAACCTTGAACAGAATGGGAATCTCAGAACATTTAATTGTGCTTATGGGAAACCTTTCGATACAGTGACTCAGTATATTCTTTCCATCTTCTTTTAATACTTCCTGGATCATTTAACATTCTGCCGAAAGCATCCTTGATTATAG